GTAAATAACACATGTATATGTTTATATTATAATAAAAATAATTTTTTACATATGCATATAACTATTATAAAATTATAACAACTATATCACAATGGTTATTTTTATGATTTCACGTTAGTTATTAGTTCAGACACTAAAAGTTTTTATAATTATGATCGATGAAGTTATATTTATGATTTGATTGCCAAATTATAACTAGAATTCACATATTTGAAGGTAATATTGCAAAGTCTTTTTTGTACCTGATTGTTAAACTAGAATAAATTTCTCTCTCTGTAACATTTATAATTATATAATAGTTGCTGAAAATGCAACGAGAGTTTTTAAAACTGATTGAATTTATGAGTATAGAAATTATGGAAGATTTATGCGAATATGTTCGACAGAACGATTCCTATCTACACGCTCCATTCGAGATATAGGCTCAATCACGATTGGCTTTCTCATTCTTAAGTGTAGGAAGAGGGCTCTTGAAGATTGCATCTCGAAATGTTTCCGTATAATTGACAGATGTAACTGTACGATAGAATGATTGTACAGGCGACGTTTCATGTCGACATATTCAAGGAATACATGATATTAGAATCTTGTGTTTATGATTTAACGATTTAATGGAATATAAAAGACTTTAGTTATACAGTTCTTTGTTTCAAAAACTTTTTTGATTGTAAGAAGTATTGATTTAGATATGACTGTTTAGATTACATGCTAACGTCAGCGTTGGAAATAACGTTGATTTTGCTTGCATTTTTATCTAAACTTTAAATGTCATATAAACTTATTTAAATGTTTCTTGGAAAATCTCATGAAGTTAATCAAAAAGGATAATCACTATACATAGTACAGTCAATTATTTATAATAATTACTTTTTATAATATTTTGTTTTCAATATAATAGTTTACGTTACTTACTATGTAACAGTATTTATTTTTGATCTGAAAAAAGTGCAGAAAAAGTTCGTAAAAATTTGCAGAATATCATCTCGTTACAATAATATTTAATATTAGGGCAAAGTTTCCATTTCTTCTATATGTGACGAATACACGGGCATAATTCCACAGGCGTGATTCACGTTAAGTGAAGGTAAGAACCTTCCGGCAATTTCGCACGGCGTGAACGTCGAGATTATTGCGCGATTTCGTGACGCCAGGCTGTCTTTATGGGCGGTACTACGAATTATAATGACAAAGATCACCCTGTACGTCCTTTTCTTGAGGCAACATGTTGGCAACGACGTCAACGTCAGCGTGACCATTGTTGTTGATTGACGACATGTCATCCGAAATAGCTTGTGTTCGCTTTTCAAATCGTAAGATCAATCGAATAGAGGCCATGGTCATTCGATTATTGATACTTGTTACAAGAGATTTCTATGACATTAATACACAATCTTCACATAACTTGGCATAAACGATTCTTTAATTTGCACAATACGAGGTACAAAGACGTTTCTTAGTTTAGACGTTAGTTTAGTCTTTAGTTTTAGCATTTAAGATTATTATCTTTTCAAAGTGTATATGTACATGTTAAATGATAGATGATGATGCAGAAAAAGATGTCCCTGTTTCGATATGTCATCAATATGTCCTTTTTAGCTCATGGTTTTCTTCATAGCTGTTGATAAATCACAACAGCGGATAATGACTATCGATTACCAAGCGATTCTGCTGACACTATTCATAAGCATTCTGTGCGGTTTAATTATTGCGGTTCGTATAGACGCGAGACGTATGCAAAGAATAGCGCTTTTGCAGATGTATGACGGTAACCATCTGCAGGAGTGTAATGCTCGATGTAGAAACCTGCAAACAAAGAGCTGGCATTTGAATGCCAGCGATTACGACTCGCATCTGGTATGATCGGCCATCCGACTTCGTGATCCTAGAAAATCGAGGTTTCTCTGTTTTAAATTTCCAATCTTTAATCTACTAGACTATATATCATATTGTATTTTATAAAATTAAATAAATAGTATTCAGTTTTTTATGTGGCACGAGACTTCTGTGTCACACACACACACACACACACACAATTCTTTCTATTTTTCATTAAAATATCTAGCTGTAATATAAATAAAATCTTACAATCACATACAAAAAACGAGATAAAATAATTCCAAACGAAAATTCGCTGAGGAAAACTTTGATATATAGATCGTGATTTTCTAAATAATAATATAATGAAAGTGTAATATTTGTAAAATTGATTTTATTATGTATTAAAATAAAATAGGATATATATTAATATAGACAGAATTTTTTTTATTTTTTATTTATTAAAAATTAAGAGAGATTTTATTGTATAAAGTTGTATTAATCTTTATGAGTATTTTTTAAATTAATTTTCTTTATAATTAAATAATTAATTACAAAATATTTATAGCGATTTTGTTATTTTCATTAAAATAACAGTAATTTATTTAATGTTAGGTAAATAATAAATAAAAGAAAAGACTTTAATTATTATATAAACTTATAAACTTATATAATTATGGATTTAATTAAAGATTACATTAGATATATACATGTATATTAATATACATACATACATACATACATACATACGAGTACATACATATATATATATATATATATATATATATATATATATACTATGTAAAATAATATGAAATCGTATTATACGTATTACGAAATCAATCTATTTCAATCAAATCTTGGCAAATTTCATTAAAACCAATTAACAATATACTTCTAAACTTTTTATTCTCGAGGTCGTATTTTTAATTTTTTTGCGAAATAATTTATTCAAGTTTGAAAATCGGAATGTCTTTTCTATAATTCCATTTGCATATTGTTACATGAATATTCGGCAATATTTCATTTGATTATTATTCAGGATAATTTAACAAATTAATTGAATACAAAATATCCATGGTGTTTTTAATATGTAAAATAAAATATGAACGATTAGATAACTAAGAAAATACTTTTGGAATATTTAAGAAAAATATTAAATCATTGCAGTGAGAGTGACTACGTAATATGTTCGTTTCCTATTTCATCAAATCTTTTTACATTTATTTCAATTTCCTCGTCATTTTCACTTTTACCACCCACATGCATGCTCATCTGCTTGTATAACAGTGAATAATTTCGTGATGACTTGACCGACGACCTAACACACATTCTCTCTTACCGGAATATATTCTAGAAATTGAAATGAATCTTTGTTCTCTATACATCTTTATATTTTGCTTTTTATAATAAATGATAGCATTTATAAATGATTAGCATTTTTCTATTTTATATTTATATTGAAAAATGCATTTTTTTGATAACTGCAGTTATTTATATAACTATTTCTTATTAATTTATCTGATTAGTACATTTTAGTACGTTTATTTATTTAAAAATAAGATAAAAATGTATAATTATTTTATATTTATATGAGAAACGATGGACATTTTTTTGAATCCATTTTTACATGTTTAATAATTAATAAAATATTGATTTTATGTGTTATAGTGTTTATCGGATAAGCCTTCTAGTTTTCTCTGTCGATGCATTATTTGCTATCGATAAAATACCTTCAGTTAAAAATTAAATGTCTACTATAGAGATTGTTATATTCATGAATTTCTTATTTTAAATTTCTATTTCGTATAATTTATGGCTTTCTAAAGATAAAAAACATAATATTTGTAATTTTTAATATCTCAAGTATAATCAATATTTCTTTATAAACGGTGAGATTTAATAATACAAATATATGAACATAAAATATATAATATTATATGATATTAAACATAAAATATATGATAATTTTTAATACATATTTTACACATGTGTAATAAATTCAGTCTTATCTCTTGCATTTTATTGCATTATAATTATTCTAACATTATGTATAAATGTCTATTATAATATTATTAAAACGTGGATATGGAAATAAGTAGACATAAAAACGTGCACATGAACTACGAAGATAATATTTATGAATGTTTTTTTCAATGGGTACACATAATATGCACAATTGATCGTGAAAATATCTGTGGCTAGCCATTTTTAACAATATCTTATTAGTAATTCTTAATTTTGTCGAAGAGCAAAAGCTTTGATTGAAAAAAATGTTTCAATATCGAGTGGCGCTGTTTGTAAAATCTAAATTATTTACCATGTGATATGATTCTATTAAAAATATTACTACATTATATCAATTTTTATTTATAGATTATCATATGGTACTTTTCCAACATATATTTTCTTAATATTTATATAAAATGTAATTTTATTTTTTAAAGATTATATAATTTTAAGAGAAACATGACATAGAGACATCTCTCTTATGTCAATGTAACATTAGACTCGCGAGAATTAGATGGATATTGGATACTAACATATAATAAAATAATACACAGGTAAATATATTAAATAATTTATTGTTTTCATTGCAAGTTTTTGTATAAAAAAGTTTATAAATAAGTTATTAAATATATACAATATATAAATATATATTACACATTTTGCTAAAATTATAAATATATAATACTGCGTGAAATATAAAGATTGAGATTTCTCTATAAATAATATTTTTTTATAAATAATATATCGCTATGAGTAATCACTTGTCACAGAGATACAATAAAATATGATTGTCGCCGTGTGACTGATTATCACAAAATGCAACCAAGAATCTTACGAATGATATTGGTTGCATTATATCTATAAGAAGGTACAATTAATGAAGGTACTATGAATTCGAATAAATAATCAATAAATATTTCGCTACATCTATAAGAATAAATATTATGTACTCTAGATGTTTAATTGAGACATGATAATAAATAGCTTTAATAATTTAGGAAACTTCTATGCTAATGATTAAGGCAAAACGAATAAGGTAATTTCTAATTTTGTAATAGTCGCTACGTGACCAACGATTATTGTCAACGTTTTACTGCTAGTCATGCAGATAGTGACGTGATTTTATGGCTCCAGTCGCGGCAGGTGCTAAATCAATTTACATCGGTTTTATATATTTTCCAATGCTTGATGCGTCTCTTCATACGTCACCTTCGGATGAGAACGATGACTCGTGCTTTAATACTTCCTTTTCTTATCTTTAATAATTGAATACGTGCCTCCAAGCATGTAGATAGTTTCGATATTTAAGAATTACACCCCAATCTCTGATAAGTCTTTTCGTTTCATCGACAGGATTTCGCTCGATATTGCTCATGATGCTTCTTTCCACGCGTATCGGTAGTTGTAAGGATGGCAGAGAGGTAATGTGGCTTTCAACTTCGCACAGCATCATCATCAAGTATGATTGAGTCGTTTTAAGAGCGATCTGAATGTGAGAGTTGGATTCATCCTCGATCAGTTCCTCGAATGCCACGGCAAATTTCTGAAGATCCATGTGCATTTTCGGGAAATGATTAACAATCTGCAAAAAATTATTATTACAAAATTATCACTCTGCTTAGGCATATTTAAATATCGCAAAAATCGCTCGTTTAAAATCTAATTAACACATATATTTTACATACATATGAGAAAGAGAGATCTCTATTCAAGATTTATATAATATATTAATAAATTTTTTGTTTTAAAAGTAAATTAAAAATAATATCATTTTCTTTTATAAAGTAAGTGATGGAACTGTTAATATTAATTGTTAATACTTTGATTTTATCCACATTGGGAATTATTTTATCACATCAATATTTATAAAAATTTTGCTCAGTGTTGTTTCTAGCAACGTTCAAAAACTTCAAAAAATAAATTCCAGAATATCGAAGATATTTTTAAATACATAAATTTAGTGACTAACTTTTATATGCAACCTTGTTTTACTCATTTATCACAATTTTATGCATTTAAAAAACCAGTCTCATGCGGTCAGCAATTAACATAATTTAAAAATGTTTTATTTAGTAACTATTTTTAAAAAGAGATAAAAATAAAGTGTGCGAAAATAAAATACGCAAATAATCGCGAATTAAAGAATAATTGTACACTCGACAAAATCTAATTTTCTGTTACATTATTCATAAAATCGAGTCTTTCGAAAGTATACAGTTAAAATTACAATAAAATGCAATACCGCGGATCAATATTTTTGCAGTTCAGTGATCGGGGCGTGGCAGAGAGAGAAAGAGAGAGAGAGAGAGAGGAGAGAGAGAGAGAGAGAGAGAGAGAGAGAGAGAGAGAGAAGGCGGGGAGGAGAGGGTACTGTGTACCCGGCATCTGGGGAGTATCGCGGGTCGCGATATCAGTTTGCGTTATCAGCGTGCTCGCATTGAGGAGGCAGACAAGCGCGATTACGCAGCCGCGCGACCCGGCGAACATGAGTGCATATGTACGATCGCGTTGCGCGCGCACTGCACGAAAGACCGCGCTCGCTCCTGTTCGCCTGCTACTTTATAATAATTACCGTCTCATTAAAATTTGTTATTTAACGTTGCGTTAATCAATTGCAACCGGGTGGTCAGCGGGCCGGCCGGTTGAAAACGCGACGGTGGTCTGCAACATTGCTCTCTCTTTCCCGCGCACTCGCTATTTATCTTTCACTTGCACGCAATACGGCTCTCTGATCGGGTTGCTCTTTCATTTCTCGTACACGGTAACGACGGTTACGAACGATGAATATTAATGATCGCGAAGAAACTAACGACCCGAGATGTAACGTTGCGAAAATTGAGCGATGAGGAAACGTGCAACGAGAACATCTAGAAGTATTTACTAAAAGTAGCCAGAAATATCGCAAATTGAAAAAAACCTTAAAGGTGATGACTAGAAATTAAGTCCAGTTTAGAAAAGTTCGTCCATGCGATAGTTTTTAACGAGAATTGCGCGATTAACCTCTTCAATTAAAATAAGTAATTACAATTCGTGCAACATGGTTGATACTAACAATTCTAGGTAACTGGATAAATTGCTGTTCGAAATACTTAATGATAGGATGATTAAATCTAGAAATTCTAGGGCCAATAATACGAGCTAATTACTAAGGTCTAAATAAAATAAAACCAATATTAATAAGTTCATTTAATTCAATAATCACGTTTCAATAAAAACGTTTCGATTTTACTTAGTCTTCCTCAGTATGAAAAATAACAAAATCAATATATTAAAATCATCCGTATTCCTTTAACAATATTGCAGAAAAGTAAGTCCATTGTTTTAAATGATCTGTTGTTTGATCTCCAAATGAGTGATATAAAAATTTGAAATTAAAACGGTGATATTTAAACGGAATGTTGTTGTAACGCATTTTCAGGCTAACGTATAAAAATAAGACGAAATATTGTTTTATTTTATTTAGACCTTAGTAATTAGCTCGTATTATTAGCCCTAGAATTTTTATCATTGCTTTGCAACACACGAGCAGTATTAGTTTATTATTATTTATTTTCGTCTAATTCAATCTAGAATTCAAAAGTACAACGTAAAAAAGTAACAATTAATTTAGTGATCAAACTTACCATTAAAGAATTAGAATTGGCCAGGCTTCTCACAAGATTCGTGTCTTTTATGTCGGGCAGCCAGTTGGGTATGTATTGATGATCGTATAAGGTAAAGCTAACACCCTCATACAAGTATTCAAAGTCTTGATTCAAATAAGCATTCATTGTCAACTGATGCTGCAGCCTAAGATTCTCGACATTGAACTTGATGTTTTCCTCGAAACTCTCCGATGAAGAAGGGACTTCCAAGTCATAATCTTCGCCGCATGGCATATGCCATATTGGTATCGACCTGGATGTCCTTTTTGGAGACCTGGATGTCCTTTTTGGAGCAGCAGAAGTGAGAGCGAAGATAATTGAGATCAAGCAAACTATTTTGATAAACATGTTCGAATTTATTATCGCGAATATCTGGCGGTTAATCTTCGAAGTTCAATGACGATCTCGTCCAATCGACTTGTAAGAAAGACACGATAAGGCACTGAACAATATTCTCGATTGATGTGAGATCGTGAACTGAGATTGTCAAACTCCCGTGCTTCCTCTTTATATATGGGATTATGTAAACAATTAAACGTACGCACGCACATTCGACGTCTCGTACGGAGAGACAGTGGGTTGCGGCAAAGATTTTGTCCGCAACTTTTTACTGTTTAGCCAAGGGAACCCCGTAAAATTATAAGCGAGTTTTTTTCATTAAAACGGAAGTACTTTTTTAATTCATAATACGCGATATGATTGGAACTTTTTAACGCGTAACGATGGACCGTATAGTAATCTTCGTATAATTATCTTTTTCAGTTAATAAACAATTATATCTTTATTAATTAGTGTACTTAATATATTATTTAATATTTATTTTTTATTGAGATAAATTTGAAATAAATTTAGAATCGCAATTCTCTTCATCTTGAACAATAAAAGAGTGTATATTATCATATGAATATGTTTATTTTAATTAATAAATTCACATTGATCAGTACATGGCTATTCAAATTTATCTAAGTGACGCGCGTGCTTAGACAGTAATAACATTTATTGCTTATGCTTCGCGGATTTCGCCTACATAGATATAGATGTTCCGATTTTCCTCGAAACATGAACGGTACCTATCGTCACGCATTTATGGCGTCTGCATGCGCATCGGAAATACGCAAATTCCGTCAGAAATCTTCCGAATGCCACACGCGCTATTCAGACGCAAACACCATTATATTTGCATTGTGAATCAAATAGGAAAGTCAAATGTCGTCAAATAAATTGCTAGAAATTCGTAATCGCATTTCTCTCTTTTTCTTTATACTTAGAACAATTATTTTTTTGAAAGCTTAATATTTACGCTAGTTTGAAATCAAGAATGAGATTGAAAAATATTTATAACAAAAAGCATCGACTTCTTCCAATGCCTATTGTATTTGTTATGATTTCCTGACGTTAAGTTATTTCTCTCTCTCTACTTCTTTAGATATAATTCTGAAAAATTTAATTTATATATAATAAATTAAATATATAATTTTAAAATACTTATATAGAAAATTTCTATTTTTATTACATGATGCATTTCTTCTACATTATTCCAAAATTATAAATTTATTATAAAGATATAAGATAAGCATAAAAATTAATTAAAAAAGTGCTAAGTTGCTACACATCTTTTTACTAAATAAATGATAATATATTTTAATAAATTATAAAAATAAAATAATTTTTGCATATTCTTTATCGTGTATGCAACTAATATTTTTCGATCGTTTCGATAGAAAACAAGGAATCTTGACGTCAGGAGGTCAATTCTTTCCCGGTTGAATCATGAAGGAGATGGTGACAAAAACTTCTGAATGAAGTAGACGTAACGTTTCAAACGTACGTTGACGCGTAAAGGATGCACCATAAAAGGCGATATTATAATTAGATCGTTCGTGTATTCATCGAACTAAGATTAGAAATCTTCTCACGCTGGATCAAGTTGTGACGCGTCGTGACGTATTATTTCTCAAGTGTACATCAAAGGAAAACAAATAGCGGTCCGATTCAAACACAAAAGCGCATTACATCGAAAGCAGTTCACATTTCCAAAATTTGTTAGAATAATATTCATATCCTTAAATATATTTATATTATTTATATGATAATATATGTAATAAAATTATTTAAAAGATATAATTATATAATTATTTAAAAAAATAGATTTTAAAATGCTAATACTTATAGTGCAAAAGGTGAAATTAAATAAAACATTATAAGTTACAGTCGAAGTGAAAAAAAATAAGCGTATCTATTTTAATAAAAAAACAATATGTAAATATATAGAATTATAATAGAAAATAATTTTTCTGAATGATCATATATTGTTAAAAATTTTATGTTGTAAATTAAATATTTATAATTTATTATATTAATTACAGGAGTATATATTTAAGTAAGTATAGATTTTTTAGAGATATTGAGACTGCTATTTTGGCGATTTTAGGTATTATGCATAATGAGCAATTTATTAATACGGTAGTCGCAATTAAATTAGATACATTTAATTCGTACAAATACAAAGTTCAATAAAGAGCGATTACAACCTATTCATTCTCGTGTACTCCTATTACAATATTTGATGCGTCTGGGAAATCTTCCTGTAAATAATGAAACTGTGCTATGATGTTGACCTGATCACTTTTACTTACAGAAAAGTAATAATTTAATACAATATATATATTAATACATAATTTTAAAGCTTTTGATAATTACTTAGAAATTAGAAATTCACAATAGTTGGCAGTTTTCATTATTATAATTACGCTTTTGTTATCCTTAAAATATAATTTGACTGTCTTAAAATAAACAAAAAGAAGATAATTATATATCATTATGTGAAAACAGTAATAAAATTATATTGCGGTCTTGCAATATAATTCATAGCATGCATAATACACACATAAAATAAATCTAAATTGCAAGCAAATATTTATATTATAGTGTTATAAAAAATTAGCGTCGTTATACATATTAGTTATTTAATCAACTGCTTAAAATATTATTTAAATATCATTTTACAGCAATGAAAGACAGAAAGAGAATCATATTTATTCAATTAATTAAATAATAATTCTTACTTATACATATTACCTTCCTTCATATTATACATTATATAAATATAACCAACACTAAAAGGAACGGGGATCCCTTATATACTCCTGGTATTTCCGGTCAAATGTTCGCTTTTGCACATTCATGCAATATGAGCATTTTTTACAATATCGCTAAATTAAATTATGTAAATTATTAAGGTATCTTCGTCATCCAAACTTCAATTCGATACAAAATACGAAGTTTATTCGAGACGATTACATACAAGTAAAAGAATGACAATAAATAGTATATGCAATGGTAACATGGTGTACAATAAATAAAACAGAGAACGCTAATGTATAAGTATACAAACGAATAAATATGTTACGTATCTATACTGGATAAAATGCATAATGTATACTTAAGAGTTTAACAATAAGTGTACGTCTACGAATACTTAATTTGAGTCGCGGCACACATCCATAAGTAATACAAAATTATATGTAACGCTAAAATATTAACGTATTTAAGTATAATTTCAATATAAAAAACATCGGACATAAATATATATTTACGCACATAAATATATATTTTAATCTATCATATAAAGGATCTTGTCACACATGTTGGTGCTCAGGAAAAATCAACTCGCTCAAATGATTCTCTGCATTCAAAATTCATAACAATTCTTTATTACCGCTTTTGATCATATTTGATTTAAAGGGAGACGAAAGAAATCGTGAGATCGAAAAGAAATCAGAATCCTCGAACTTCGATTCCGCTAAAATTTCTCGCATGTGTTAAAATTAACGGATTAACTAAAAAATAAAATTGTCATGTGTTCGCACGATAAGGCGAGATTCTATAGTAGACATCGGAAAAAAAGAGAGAATCATCTACGTCTAAATATCTCGGTACGCATCAATACATGACACTGTTATATTTATACGTATGCGTGCACATACATCCGTCTATATATAAACGTAGGAACTCTGTACATTCGTGTACACTCGGGATATCACAGCTAAACAATATTTAAGCTCGCCATCCGCTTAGGTATGCAAGTAAAGCTAGAATAAATAGGTTTCACGAACAGCCTAAAAATTCATCGTTGATCCCTTCACATGCTATCGATATCTGCATATAGCAGATTTTCGTCAACTTAATTTAATTAATCGAGTCTCGTGTCCGTATAACAAACCGTTTTGATCATAAGCTTCATAATTTATGTTAGCATATTGATATAAATATGTGTAAGACGGCCGATCGAACGTGCAAAATGCATTCATAAAATTGTATTCTTTTTCTTGTACCTCCATCTCTTTCTCTCTTTTTCCAATACATATTTTTATGATATATTTTTCGTTGTCTTCGGATAGCCGAGTGCCTGAGAATGAAAATGGGCTTTTGATATGCCATTTTGCATACGCACGATATGATTACGAGTTTTAAGTGCATTTAACCGTGGCTATAATTTACTGGACCAATATTTCCTGAATCTAATCGATTCGAGAATATGCATTGGGTGTTTCAAAACATTTTTATCAGTGTTATCGGCCATGTCGATATTCTGTGTGTATGTTATTAGATATATAATACTGTTCTGAAGTAGATCTCTTAATACTGTGGTCTCTAGTACGCCGTGTTATCGACAAAATATTCGTATTACCATAATCAGAACCTGTTGATATTATTCGAAAGATATTTATTAAATTAAGCAAATGTTGTTCACGGCTGTTGAGATATCTAATCTTAACACAATATCAGGCACGTTTCTCTATTGACGAACTTACGGAATATTAAACGAGTAAAACTATATATATCTGAATGAATGATCGCGATGATGGAATAAATATCGAAGTTATGTTACTATGATATAAGTATATGTTCGATACTGTAAAGAGCGGTGCCTTTAAACGATCAGCAGATCTTGTCGATTAAACGCAAAAAAATATAAAAATGACTCTATGTATAAAAATAAAGGCTTATCTTAGCTTCCTGCTGCTTAAAATTTTTCTATTTTCAAATGCAAAGATTCGAAATAGTTGTATAGTATAATAAATTAGAGAGTCTCGAAATATTATGTATACTCTTTCGTGTACAAATTTTTTTTAATTAGTTCAATTTAATTAGTCTGCTTCTCAATATTCGATTCGAGGAACTATTTCGACCACGTGAATTTTTCTTTTTTATCGTTTTGGCCCTTTTTTTCATTTTCAACCATTTTTTAGGTCTTCTAGGCTTAAGAATACACTGTTCAGAATTCTCTGTATGTGTTCCGTTGAGTGATTTAATTTTGCAAGTATTGGGTATCGTCACATTTAAAGCGTTGCGCATTCCTAATGACCAATCATTCAAAAATTTCTCGTATATTTTCAACACTACCCAGTCTTGAACCAGCATTCGACTTATACCGCCTTCTTTAGCTAATTCGGATGTTATCGTTGTATTATTCGGAGGAGGAAGATCGATTTGCAAATTATACATAGCATTCTCGACTTCGCACAGCATCTGCAATTATACAAACAAAATGTTAATTTTACATGTTTATACTTTTACTCGCAAAAGATCGACATTGCCTGACATTGCGCATTTACAAAATTTATAATAAATTCGATATACATGATCGGAATAATAAAATCTTATACTTGTTAAACAATTAATTTAGGAGAAATTTTAATGCGCGATTGAAATGCAAATTAATTTTGATATAAATCTTGATATAAATCTTATTATACCATAGCTTTACCTGAAGGATCTGATTAAATGTTACGTCAATCATCCAGTCCCGAATGTGTATGCTCTCATTATCTCCGGTGGAGATTGAATCGAGACGAAATTTTTCAAGTTCATGGAACGTAATGGCAAACTTTTGAAGATTATCGTACAAATATGGAAGAAAATGCTGAGGTTTCTTCTCCTTTTCCAGGCACAGAATTTGTTTACAGTACCACGTGAGCTGCTCCTTGGGCAACCAATCAAATTTGTACTTCCTTCTTTTCTTATTTATGATATACTTGAATAGTTCCTATAAAGAAAGATGAGATAATATTTAATGATTTTTAATTAAAACTAATGATTCTTAATTAAAAATACAAAGCAATAAAGACAAAGAGCCCTAGACAAAGATGGCAGAATTTTTTGTGTGAATAATTTGGTAAAAAATACTTTCACCTATGTCTAGGGCTCTTTGTCTTTATTGTTTTGTATTTTTTATTTATATCATATGAGCCTCTCATATTGCACTCTCTTATTAATTTGATTTTTAATTATATCATACCGGATATCTTTTAATGTAATTAGTTTCTTCAAATTTGTAAATTTCAATATAGAAAGATTTTATCGATTATTTATAATTATATTATAATCGCATAATTTATTTATGCGTGATTTTGTCGTAAAGTATATAATTTATAACTTGTGCAGATTATATTTTTGCATAACGTCGTTATATTTCATAAATTCAATAAATTACAATTATTATACATTTATGAATTATTTAATAGATATCCGATGTGACATAAGTAATCCTTGATTCTGATATTAATTCCGCGATATTGAATATCGCGTCAAATCTAAATATTTATACTGCTTTAATATTATGCACTATACTGTAATATAGAAATTACGATGTCATAAATCTGTCTCGGAATGCAATCATGCATATTCTAGTAAGCATATCCTAAGTTTCGAAAGTCGAAAAACAAAATATATACTATTCAATTCAAGTTGCAAATAAACCTGTACACTCTCTAGTAGACAATAAAATCTACCATCTCGATAACGTGTTATAAATAAATAAAATTTGTTATATAAATGTATTTCTATGGAATTCATTAAAGAACGATTACAAATATATTTAATAATATTAGCGACACACACATTTTTATCGAATGCGTTGTAACACGATGCAAGCAATTTGTCAACAAATATAAATGATGTCAGCAACATAGCGCGGGACTCTAGAAGAAAAAGTAATTATGCTGGATGTGCGTGGCACACAGCGTAACCAATGCAAATTGCCGACGGAAAGTAGGATTGTGCACACCGGAGACGTTGCATTGTGAGCACGTGCGAGTCCCCCTCGAGCGACTGCCCACGCGATTTTACCCCGACGCCGCGATGCAATTAATTGCGGAATCGCGGTCGCGTCGTGGAGCGCTCTCTCGTGTCTTTCACCTGCGGATCTCTCACCTGCCTCTCCTTTTTGAAACACATGTAGGAGTAATGTGCGATGCGCATCTTCATTCGCACTTTCTTCAAGGATCTGTGAACGCTGTGCCGCTGCTGCGGCTGCTGCTGCTGCCGAATTGCCGTCTCGGTCGTCAGCACAATACCGCAAGGTCGTATCCAGGGTATTACATCCGTAGTATTACACTCTACGGGAATCGGTTGCTCGCAGATTCCTGAAACCGAGTTCAACTCCAAGTGCAGGATGAAGAAGAAAGCAATTATTTGTGCCACCGAATCTGTAATCGAAAATAGCAACTTTTGTCAGAGATATGTTATAAGACACAGTAAAACTAAAACTATTCAAACTATTAAATTGATGGGAAAGTTTTTTTTCGTTTTCTAACATTAATATTAAAATATATAAAATAAAAATTAAAATATAAAACTTCTCCACTAATTTAATATTTCTCTTTTTCTCTATTTGTGCGTTCTATATATATTTTTCATATAAAAATATTGATATTGTATTTTAATTTAAAAATATTCTGTTTTCAGACGATTGCATAATTTTTATTATTGTTAAGTCAATGGTTAATTATTAACATTGAGATATTGGCTAAGTTGCAATAAATACGTAACTTGATATACATCACGGTGTAATATTTATATTTGTGAAAGTTCACATATTCAATCAATTGTAAGATAATTCGTTAAAGCCAATAAAGTCCAACGGATCAACGGATTGAAAAAAGGTCGCGCGCTATTTTGCATGCAAGAGTAACAAAACGAGCATGAAGAGAGAAAGGGAAGGATGGAGATCCTTCCGACTTTCACACTCGGCATACCTATATGAATACGTAGGTATCTATCATCGCACCTACGCGTCAACTTAACAGCGACCAATTGTCGCCCCCGCAATAGGAAATGGATTGCAAATCGGAGAATCAAGATTTATACAATTAAACGTCGTAGCTCACAATTTTTCTCATAATTTGACATGCTGCAAATTTACTCTGGAATGGAGTTTTTCAAATTTTTTGCACGTAATTCACGCAGTACTATGTTAATAACAAGAGAAAACAATGTACGATAATGATAGATTAAATTTCTCATTTTTGTTATTTTTGTATTATCATACATTCGATTATAGTGTTTTTTATAATAACTGGCATTGTTTGACAATTGCATTTCGAGACGGGATTTGCGATAGCTTTACATTGATAGCTTTTTATCTTAATCCTTTTTATTTCCTTTTTTTATTTCCTTCTCCTCCGTAAGTGCATATTGAATTAAAAAATATTGAAGATAGTTGAGATATATGCATGCATTAGACATGCATTCTTCTTCCTTACAATATCGATGAAGAGATTCGTTACTTTTTTCATTCTTGGAGATTTTGTGTATGCAAATGGGCAGGAGTTAATTATCATTTTTATATTTTATTTATCATTTGTATACTTTATTTATCATTTTTATATTCATTTATTTCGAGTTTTTTCCATTTTTCATGTTTTGTTTAATTTGATTATATATTGCGTTATTTTATTATAGATTGACAATAATGAATCTTAGTACTGGAAGATGATTGAAACGTACACGATACTAATAATTTGCAATTTTTTTCGGATTAATTTGTTACTTATTTCCATTAGCGTTTTAGCTTATATCATTATAGTTATACTTCAAAGCTTTTAATTATTGTAAAATTTCATAAATTTCAAGACGAGAAAAGCTCTATTAAAAGAATGAGGAGTTGAAAAAGGAGAAGAATTAATTTGCAATCTGTTACAAGAGAGGAAAAGAAGAACTCGAAAAAACAATATCATATTTTGTGTTCTCACACGTTATTAAGCTTCGAATGAAATCGTATAATACTTAGCATCACGTAAACACATCGTATTGGATCTATTTTCGATCAATAACATTAAGTACCTGCGAAATCTAACATGGATGCTATAGTAAGTCGTTGTAAAGACCGACAAAGATTTTATGGACCGTTGCGAGGTCCATCAATTAACGCGCGTTGATAGTTCGTGCGTGCCGCAGAAAATCATCGAGTAAATTCGAGGTGATGATATGCGCCCTCAGATACGAGGCATTATGGCAATTCGATAAGATAGTACAATTCGCACGTCGGTCACGCGTGAACTAACGTGCGTGAACTGTGCATGGCACAATTATCGTGCGGCTCACGTGTATTATGTGTCTATTCTTATAATTCACGATAATTTGGGGTAATATCGCACAGACTTTTTCATTTTCATAATTTGAAAATTAAAAAAAAAAATAATAAAAATGATAAAGATATGTTAAATTTATATGAACTAGATTTAACAAAATATCTTAATATTTTGTTCCAAAATAAAAAGCATGAAAAAATCTCTGATAGTAGTTGCAATTATCTTATTTTTTTTTAATGAATCTCATTTTTCAGTTGTCTTAATTAATATTTGCCAATATTTTATAATAATCAATGTAACGAGAGTATTTAAATTTATGAATGTAATTATTTCGCAAGTTTATACACATACGATGTATTAAATTAATTTACACGCGTAACTCGATTAGCCCGTTAGCGAAACATTGTAGGAAGCTAGTTGTATGGTTGTGTATCTTATCATAAACTCGCGCCTTTTCTTGCGGAATCGCCCCAAGCAGTTTCAAGCATCCTGTCGGCTACATGCGTCACGTGGGCGTGCGCTAAAGGTGCACCTAATACTATATGCACTTCTAACGACCATCACTCCCAACTATATCAATTTACATTCTTACTTAGCAGTTACGGATTTCTTGCGTGTATTAATCTCATATCTGAGGGTGGACAGCTACAAAGTATCTCTTTCTGTCAAATTAATTATTTTTGACAGGCTACGATTTAATTTCGCTTTAGCGCAGTACATCCAAGATACATATATTCTTAAGACTTAGATGTCACAAACGAGATATATGTAATTAATCAAAACTAAATCTAAAAGTTACGATTAAACAATTGTTACGTTTATAAGTTTCAGCTTTTCAAAAATTATTAATTATTTCTAGAAATTATTAATACAATTGTCTAAATAAGCTCTCGAAATAATTGGCAATACAGATTACAATAAGTATAAAATTAATGCATCGCGAGAATAAAGTTATGCTCCGTAAAAAGAGCAATGCATTATTTTCTGGCATAATATCCCTGTAATCGCGATCTACCTATGGGCCACTAAATCGCACGCAATAACCGCGTTATTCCTCTATAGGATTTCATCACGTGCAATTATTCGAGCAGGCGCCTCATCCTGTTCTTACTGTACACTCTCATTACGCACGATAATCGATTCAAAACACGTTTCAGAACAAAACGTCCATCATTCATACGGTGAAATTATCCCAAAATATACTTCTTTTCAACCATTCGCATTCCGGGCAGCGTCGTGTCGACACGGGGTAGTTGCCTCCGCGGATTTAATGCATGCCTTCCTCGTCCCTCGATAGCCTCCGCCAAGGTGGAATCGCGGCTATTCCCCGCGATGGATTCCCCGGATGCCAGTAGTCGGACGATCGGTCGGCCCTCCGGTGATTTGGCGAAAAGAGGGCGGGAAACGGGGAGAGAGCGATGCTCTTTTTTTCCGCGGCACACAGGACGAAGATTGTTGGTTTTGCAGCACCGGTACCGCGGTGGTGAATGCCCCAGGGCGGCAAAAGGCGGTTGCTGCTTTCTGGGAACGGGTCGGAGTCCCGGCCGTACCGGGAGCGGTGATTGCGTGGTGATTAGCCTCCACCTTCGCCACTCTTTGGTCCGACCAACGGAGGACGAAAGGTAAGGAGAAAAGGAGCGAAAGAGCGCGCGCACACAGGTAAGGAAGTGCACCTCAAGTGTGCGGTGTATCGAGAGATATAGCGCAGTATTCATCGTTGTTCGGACGAGTGTGGGAGCGAGGTGCCCGATACGAGCCATTCGGGCCCGGCTTCGCGGATTGCGTATCGCAATCGGAGAGCGAGAGCGCCGACGTGCGTTGAAAAGTGTACGGAGATAAGTATGCGATGAGAGAAAAGGGTAAAGAGAATAGAGAGTCTCGCAATATGCGCCTGTCATTGCATGCACGGTTACAGAGAAGTGTCTCATTTTGCGGAAAGATCAAAGTAGTATATGAATAAATATGCGCGTGATAATCTTCATCGATTGCTCCGAAATATTGGAGTAGTAAATTACTGAAGAAACCGTTTAAAGAGATTTTCGATGCAGTTTTCAGTTCAGGAGCGAAGCTATGAGCAACTAGATTAGAGACCAGATAAACTGGTACTTTAAAAAAGTTTCCTAAGAAATCATTAGCGATGACGCATCTTGATAGATATTTTAGAGATACCGTAGTGCAAAGCGTCATTCAGCGAATCTTATACGCCTTTATCATGACAAATGTGCGCCTTTCGTTCATGCAACATCACTCGTAGAGGTATGTGGGACGCGTAGCCACGTCTTCTTCTATATTTCTTCTCAACCGCACGTATTCGCACTTGTGTAAGTAATGTTTACATGCCGAGAGAGAGAAAGAGAGAGAAAAAGAAGCATCATTCTAATTGAATCTATAGTGAGAATATCGCACCATGGGTGAACGCGAGTACCATAGAAAAGACAGATTATACGTAGCTCGCAACATTTGATACGATATGCGCATCGGGGATCGTTGGGAGCAGTCTACAGAGGCGTCGGGTTTCTCCCTCTGCTCGCGTTCTGAATCGAGCGATGATTAAAAAGTCGACGAGAGAAATAAGAAACGATTCATGCGGCAAAGGAGCGGGACTGATTGCGAGTCCAACGCGTATCGTGCTATTGATCGCAGCGATAAACACGTGCTAATTACGTTAATTATGAGATTCAATAAACAAGCATGTAGAAGTAATTAACGCGGAGAGCTGGCATTTGTGTCGTTTTCACGGACGAATGATGGAATCATTCGCGACATGACACAAGCCTGGCGCATTGTCTCAAAAGGCGCCTTTTAATCTTCGCTTAGACCGGTTTTTCTCTCCGCGAACCGCAGCTTCCCGCGTATTCAGCTCTTGAATATGAATCAGGCAGCGCGACGAAGGCACGCTAGGCGTACACAATATCCCCGACTTTCTCCCCCGAGCCGGCCGCAATCATTTCTGCGGGCGACTTTGATTTACGAGGTACGCGGGAAAACTCGAGACTACCCGCGCGAGAGTCCGCAGTCTCCGCCAATGGGTCCCGACCTTACGGATGCACCGGGCAGATTAGCGGGGCGCAGATTTGCATTTTGTCTGGCCGGACTACCACGCACGTATCGGGGAT